GCCATGACATCCATGCCTCCTTAGCATAGAGAAGTTCCGAATTATGATTAAGGATACTATTACATAAATTATTTACGCTATGTACGGAAGTAAGGAAGGCAGGTAAGGTGACAATAGAAATTTTCGTTGTATTCCTAAAATTCCTTAATTCATTAAGAGATAAATTTAGATTTTTTTATAGAGCTGATTTAAGATGAAAATCAATTTCAAAAAGTACTACTTCACTTTGTACATCGTCATGTCATATCAACTTTACCTTCCAACGTAACATCGTCTAGGTACCAGACAATAAGTTTATATTTCAATTTTGAAATAATTGGATGAATTCCCAAACTAAATAATGCTGGTCTTAGCGGATCTCCTTGCTAAACGCCGACAGCAGAATCAATAATATTATCCTCTTAAAATAAATTAGGTACTCTTTTCACTGTAACATTGTCAAACATATGGATATATTTCTGTTGTATGGTTAGCCACTTCTTTCAGCAGAGTCGTTCTATCAATGAAGTTAAAAGAATTCCTTCAGAAGTACATCCAAATCAGTATTTAAAGCAGTTCGAACGGAACATATAGCCGGTTTTTTAATGTGAGAAAGTGCGAGCTGGCGGTTCACCTGATGTTAAATGACAACCGCTGCCCATGGACAACACTCATAGGGTGTTGTAAATGTCACAGCCGCCTTTGCTTCCAAAGCCTAGTTGAACAAGCTGGAACTTTGTTTTAAGGAAGTTTGTGACAATTTAATACTTAGTGATAATTGTATGACATTGTATCATAAACAAATAAACTCTTTAGAATCATTATTACATTTATTATTTTCTTAATCAATACTCACACATCACTTGAAATAATCATCAAAATATTTCAAAGTAATTGTGGTAGATTAACATAATATTGTTACGAGCTGGGGGTTCGGGATTAGAGTGAAACGTCCCGAGCATCATTCGTTCTGTTATACACACAGCCTTGTTCGTCGTATATATCCTTGCCGTTGACTCCCAGGTGGACGTCACCATCACCCCAAGTTTCCTTGAAGAATCGGCTCTTCCATTTTCTACCAAAAGCAATCACATTTGCCTCAATCACAATTGACATAGCTTTACGCGTGATTCTCCAAAAATAGGTACAGATCTAGTTCTTCTGGAAGTTTAGTAAATGGTTTTTGTTTGATAAAACCAAATGTTATTTTTGTTTGTTTACACTTTCCAGGTAACTGTGACCCCATTCTGGAAATTTCACAGTGATTACAGCAAATCGGGCCCTATCATGAATATGATCATATAAATATCTGAAAATTGTGTTACACTTGTTTTGGGTAGTACATGAGTCGCAAACAATTGCAAGTTTAGACGCTCTGCTAGTAAAAAGTTCCAAACAAAATAGCTAGGAACTTTGAATGATGAAATGAAATGTCTCGATCAGTGCAATTATTAATTTATATGCTGGAAGTAAACCTACAAAAACAGTGGGATGTTCCTTTGGTGCGGAGAGTACAGAGAGATACGTTTCAATCTTTAGAAAGTAATTTAGAGCGTGTCCGTTTCCTAGGAGTCTCATCTAAAGAATCGAGTTATTGGCTTCACGCTTTACCATCAAGTAACTTGGGCACATTACTTGACGATGAAAGCTTACGCATTTGTAGGAATCCGTCTGGGGGCACCGATTTGTCAAACACCAATGCCCTTGTGGTGTCAGTGTAGACAAATTTGGTCTCCACGGGCTTTCTTGTCAAAAAAGTGCTGGCCGTTTTTCTCGCCACGGTTCCCTGAACGACATCATCCGTAGGGCTCTTGTTTCCATCAATGTTCCATCTATCTTAGAGCCCTGTGGCATTTTACGCGACGATGGTAAGAGACCCGACGGTTTAACATTGATCCCTTGGGAGAGAGGCAAAGCCCTTGTGGGACGCCACTTGTGTAGACACTTTGGCTGCCTCTCATCTAAGGGGTACTTCGGTCAGGGCCGGGGCGGCATCGGAGGCAGCTGAAGTAAGTAAATGGCGCAAATATGAGTCTTTATGTTCAGATTATGTATTTGTGCCATTTGCTGTTGAAACATTAGGTCCGTGGGGTCCCCGCACATCAAATTTTTTTAAAAGTTTATGTCCTAGGCTTAACACCGCGGCTGGTGACAAGAGAGCTGGTTCTTTTCTCGCGCAAGGTTGAGCATAACTATTCAGCGAGGAAATGCAGCTAGCGTTCTTGGCACCATGCCGCGTGGATTAGGTTTATTAGATAATATGTAATTTTAGATAGATTTAATCTTGTAAATATTAGATCAATAAAGACTGTCTTAATTAAAAAAAAAAAAAAATTTATATGCTTGGCGCCCTAATTCGTAGGTTTGGTTTCGACAACATTATTAACACGTGGTGCGCCGGATCTCGGTTGATCAGTCTTTGTTTAATTATACTTTTGCATATGACAAAATAAGGGATGAAAATAAATAAATATTATCATCACATTATTTAAGCCTTTTGAAGTCCATTGATGAGTGTAGGCCTCCTCACACACGGCCCAATCATTTGCTTGGTATTTCTCTGTGATAGAACTCGCTTTATGTAGTATTGTATTTAAAATGTTCTTAATTGTGTCAAATGAGGTATTATGTTAAATGATAACCATTTACAAGAAGTCTAGGTCTATTTGGTCTATTTTTACGAGTGTATCCGAAGTTAACCTGAGTATTGTGTGAAAACGAAATAAAATAAATTCAAAAATTAAGATTGTTGTATAGTAATTTAGGACGTTCTTCTTACCACCAATTTCTTACTTCAAACTACCACTCTTACATCTTTAATTTTAGATTGTATTTGATGTATATTTTATTGGTCTTCAGCCATTTATGCCTATGGGAAAAATATGGAAATATTTATAGTATGAACCTATGTTAAGTGGAAAGATTCCTTTGCTTCGAAAAATTTTATATGGCCTCAAATTGAAAGAGAAATTTTATCAGCCCTCGCCCTCGACCGTGATGTTGCATCGTAAGGACAATCTAATGTAACGTCCTCAGTTGAAATTGCATGATTCACGGAATGGATATGTTTTGGTTGGAGGTTACAGACTTTAATTTATAAGTGACGTAAGCGTGTAGTAGTATTTATAATATTCCGACTAAGCCGAAGTTTACGTATAATACCGAATTTTCCATTACCACTTATGAATAAATTTTATGCGGGTGTTTGGCAATAAAAATTAGCCATTCTTGTCGATTCATTTCCAGATATGTTTTTTTAATACAACAACAATAACGCTGTACGATATTATTAATTACTGTTAAGGTATTCTTTAACCATACCTTTCAACCTTTTAAAAAAGTTTATATACCTTTACAAGTCCGTTTAAAAGGTTGAAGTATCAGCAGCACAGACATTTACAGCGAATAAAAAAAATGGTACTATGTTGAGCGCATTGTTTGAATTGTAAAAAAAACAGGTTCTTTGTATGGAAAATTCAAGAAAACACTAGTCCTCTCAAACTACAAATCGGATTAAAGTCAGTATGTAATATCTGACAAATGATTGTTTCGCTATTGTTAGTAAAAAAAAATTCAGTCATCTTAAATCCCAATAGTCAATTGTCAACAGGATTACTGCGATCTTATAGCGCAAATCCTTATCCCTTCAAAGTTAATGAATGTCTTGTTTTAATAATGCCTATATGACCATTTTCCACCAGTTGAATGTAAATCTTGAACGTTATTTTTAATTGTCTTGTTAAGCCTTAACCATAAACATCATGATCAATTAAATCGTCCTTCCCACAGCTGCATCTGTCGCAGCCGCTGTAGTAAACACGTATAACATGACCTGTTGCAAATCTATCTTGTTTGCTCAGCTTAATAATTTTGCCGGATTAACTGTTTAAAGCACGATATGTTTTATAAACAATAAGCCCCAAAAGTGATTAAATAAAATAACAAAATAATAAATAACTTTCCTTATCTTACCTAGTCATCTTAAAACTTAAAAAATATATAATTGTAAGTATCATCACGGAAAGGTTCGTTTTATTTTACCCTAAAGTGATTAAAATTTCGAAGTTAAAAAGTTATGCTGAAAATTGTCCCGTATATGTGTTTGACATTGTGATTTTATCAAATGGAGTGTAAAAGATTAATGTTATTTATAGAGTCTGAAAAATTACACAAGCAAAATGCTTATAACATTGGATATGTACTGATAAGTACGTCGGAAGAATGAGCTAGCCAGGGCCCACTCTCTTAATGGTTGGCAATGCATCTGTATCCTGTCAGGCATTTTAGATGTAAATGAGTGGTGACAATCTCTTCATATAAGATTAACAGCTTAGTTGCTTGCCAACTTGATACATAAAAATAGTTCTGGTTGGGTTAACACAAATATTTTTGTACAGGTTCAGTAAATTACTAATTCACCATTAACAATCAAAATATTTTCTACATATTTTGATGTAGTACTATCGGAACTTTACATTAGTACAAGTTTGATACTTCTATATTTAATGTCAGATCATACAAACTGTTGAAATGAAGCTGAATCGATGAAACAAAATGCAGTTAAATCGAGCTAAGGCTAACATGTGTTTTATGTGTTAGAGCCTTTCATTCCTAGAGAACTTGTAGTTGTAAGTCTAACTAAAAAAACTTGTCATATCTCTTCTTACAGCTCCCACTGGAATGTTTCTAATTAAAAGTTCAGCTTCAAAATTCCAATGCTGGGAACCTCTGTGATTGTTATGGTTGAGATTTTTTACTGTTGCGACGATGTCCAGGTCGTAGGATTCTACCCGATGATCTTTTACGGCCCACGTTCAACATGCACTTTTCAATTGGCTTGTGTGCATATCTATTTACGCATTGATTTTCCACGTCAGCTAGATTTGAGGCTGAGCTCTCTAATCTGTCATCTGAAGTCCGATCCGGCCAACTACACTTTATCTATCTTTGATCCCAATAGACTATTGACATGAGTTTCATTCAGGTTATTGAGACTCGCAGTCGGGGCTGTGGATTCAAAAATGGGCCCTCAAAACTGGGTATGGGACAACCGTGTGAATTCCGATTCGCACAATCGTCTGGGGGCTTTCGGATGCGGCTGCTCGGATATCGGATCGAATGCTGGGCTGAGGCGGGCGGCGGCGGGCGGCGCAGGCTCCACCGGCGGCCGCTCGTCCGGCGGGTGCGCGCGCGCAACATATAACGGCCCCCGCGCCGCGCGGCCTTCAGTGCCAGCCGAGAACCGCGACCGCCAACACGCTTTCGCGACACACCCGCACTACACAGCACCGCTCCGGCCGCGACACGCGACTGTGTACACTTGTGAGCGCGCGCGCCCTTTCTCTCACGCAGTGCGACCGTGCTCCGGTGCGTGAATGCAAAACCGGACTGCCCTCTCGGAAGACAACGAGACGGGACCCGCGCCGATTCGCGCCTCTGGAGTATTTCGACGGGTGAGTTTGGACGCCTTTTTTTCTTTCACCTCGACAGCCACAGCGAATGTTTGTTGCACTGCGAGCGTTATCGTCGCCTGGGCATCGGGGCAGCGATCAGAGGGCCCGCACCACCGCTTTCGTGGTCCGCATTTGTAACGAAATCTCGCAGATAAGCGGCCGTGTCTCGGATTTAACCGTTCCCTTTTAACAGGCCGGAGGTGCACAGCGAGCGGAGCAGTACTGTTAAGGTGAACAGCTCCGTCGGTATTTGCAAATATTAAATCTCAATGCGAATAATTCACCTTTACGAGATGCGTGTATGTGTGAGTACCAGTATGTCTGTGTTTTTATTTTTATTTTCGTACTATTCGTTCAAATGCCCCGCATCGATGTCACAGTGAAATGTCGCCGATTCGACGCGTACGTTAGGTTCTTTTGTTTGCGCGTTATTCGGCCCGACTGGTGCGAAACACAAAAACCCATTATAGCAGCAGTACGCTGCGATCTTGTTGGGTAATAACTTTAATATCGCCTTCTACCTACCCTACGCCACTGATATTGTTCGTGGCTAGCAGGATTTTGTTACGCGCCTGCCCTAATGCTACTTTCTTTTTTGACCAAAGATAACATTCGCACCGCTGTTCGATAATTTTTCAAAGTTTAACTTCCCCACAATCGCTCGTACGACGTTACGACCCGTATAAACAACATTATTATAACGAAGAACAATATTGTTGTGGACATAGGAAACAAGTCCAAGCGATTGCGTTCGCCCGTTTTATCATTACACGTGTACATAACTCAGATATAAGGTCCAAATTCTTTTGCCCGAGTACTAAAGGTATTAAACATTTCAACTGGCACTGCATAATTGCCATATCTATGGACCAATTAGCAGACGCATTAATCAATGGAATGCGCTCATTTAGATGCTTTCATATTGGTAAAAGTTTCGACACAACTTGATAAACAGTTTTAAAACGCTAGATGACGTCAATTAATAATGGACGGATTGACAAACTTCGACAACAAATCCGTAAATAAACAAAATCATTAAAATTCTATAGGGTTACTTATTTTTTGAACCGCGAGATATGCGTGTATCTCTCATTGTTGGAACGCATACTGCGCGCCAATCGCATTATACCAAAATATACCATATTTATATCCCCAAATCTTTAGTTTTGTGTCCTGTACAAAATATTTTATTTTATAATATATTGTACAAAACATTATTCACAATGCTTATCAGTATTCGTAATCGAATGTAAAATACACAAAAAATTTTTACAATTTGCTACATCAACGTTAAAAAAAAACATACAAGAGGTGCATTTACAAAATTTACAACACATAACCGAAAACATCGTGAACTTAATAAAACAAGAAATAAACCTTGATCAAAATTAGAGGTTTACTCGGCTGTTTTACACAGGTTTGTTTCTTTTGTGTTTGACCAAAAAGTTTTATGAGAACGGTATTAACACCGTTTTAAAGTGATACCTAGTTATTGTAATATTCTTAGTTTAAGTCGAAGTTTTCCTCGTCGATTACGATTTAGATCCCGTAACCGGACCCTTTTTGCATTCGACGCATCGTCACCATATCAAGGATAATTTATTTCGCTTTTTAACTCGAAACACAGTTTACTCAAGGCCGCGTTTTATATTTCCGGAATTTTACCGTTAATTGTCCGCTGACACGCTCCGTTTCCCCTCATTTATGTTTTTATATAAATTAATACGATCCATTTTATTACCAAATTTAGTGCGCTTGTAAATTATTTATTCTTAATATGAACATTTGACGGGATATTCCGTAAATCAATCGTGTCAAACGCCGTTTAGGCTTCCGCTTCGGGGCTAATTTCTGATTTCTACGCTTGCACCGTTATGTGCGCGTGTAAAGGAAAACGATAAACAGTGCGCGCGTTTTCTCGCAAACTTCACGAGTCCTTAGTAGCAGGAGTAGATTACCAAATGATTGTTACACGCGCGGTGTCGCAAGTTAAGGCGAGGACGTGTTTATGTTTACCTGCGACGTATTTCGAAACGACTGCGTCGGTATTTCGGAGCCTTCGGACCTCCCCCGACGCTATAAATAGACTATCAGCGTGCTTCAGACGTTTTCCTGGAACCAAATCTCACGGTTTCCCTTTAATACGTTGATGGATGTGATGATATTCGTGATCGTGAATACCCGAGCGACTGCTTTTCCAGTGAGAATCCACTTAATTACCGACAAAAATGAGATTATAAATTATTTTATTGTCACTTAAACTTCCTTCACCATCTATTATTGTAGTAAGTACACAATTGACGAAGTTAGTCTGGAGTCGAAAGATGTTAAAGAAAAACATTTCATCGTAATAAAGTCATTTTGTTTCTAAACTAAATTAAATACAAACTACTATGATTATAAAAGCAATTAAAAGTGTATAAGTGATATAAATGAAAGAAGTGAATAAAGAGATATCAAAGGGCTATTATTAAACCAGAAAAGAAAAGGGAGGTAAATCGATAATTAAACGGAGGACGGTAAAATAACCGCAGAACCAGCCGCGAAGTCATGTGGCCGAAGAAATCGTTTAAAATAATACGTCATTTGAAATTAACTCAACCAGATTGAACTGGTATAATGCGGTTAGCACTGGTTGGTTGGTGCCATGAAGAAACGTATAAGGTTGACGACATTGCATAACTTCAGCTAGAAAAGCATAAATACACGCACGAAATGAAAAATGCGTTGTTTAATCTGTTTTTACATGAATATAAATATGTTGGTACGCCATCTTCCATATCGTCTTAATTATTTTATAACACGTCACAGATAAATGTATTTATATGTGAAACTTGTTATAGATCTATTAAGTTGTAAGGTGTGCCGCATCCTGCTTCTTTGAATTTCTTTATCATGTTACTATTTCATGTGTTAGAATTTATAAGTAAACTTATAAACCTGTATATTTATTATTATTTATGCTCGTTTCACAATATGGCTGAATAGAAATATATTTGAAATAAATAAATATTCGTACTATTGTCATTTAAGATTCACTATAACCTCGAATGTCAGCGTCAAATACCATAACAGCAATCACGGGACATTGTCTTTAAAGTTTTGATAACAGTAGGTGCTACTAAGAATTGTACAATGGTGAAAGAACTGAAAGAAGAGTAGTTATAGAACCTTCTTAGTTCCACTACCGGCACTCTCTATATATTTAAGGGTGACAAGCGAGCAGGTGTTTGAACTAATGCTAAATCATTAACGTCGTCCATTAGTATCTGCAACATTTATTGGGTTGCAAGTAGGTTATCACATGTTTTTGTAACTGGAAGGGCAACGCAACGGCTTCGGCTGTTGCATGAATGGGCAGGTCCATACGGGTAAATTCTACGATCTCAAAGAAGACCGTCGAGAAGTGGAAGTGTCTGACTTCTGCATTTCGTCCGGTGAGTGAGGCAGCCGGGACCCACTTTGAAAAAAGGTGGCAACGCATCTGCGACGCTAAGGGTGTTGCAAATGTCCATGGGCGGTGGTCATCAGTTAAGATCAAGTGAACCGCCACCTAGCTTGTCAGAATATGCGATTCATTCGAACTTTTTTAACTAATTTAGCTAGGGTTTCGATCTTAATCTAGGAAAATACAATCCATTCATAAATCGAACCGGATACGAAAAAATAGCACTCAAAAGAATAACACAGAATATAATGGTCTTATAGAATGATACTAATTACAATTTATTATGTTTTTTTTTCATGATACAAGAGCCGTGATAGCTCAGTGTCCGGGCGCTCGCCTTTAATTTAATATACTCGAGCAACCTGAGTTCGATCCCCGGTGTTGGCACCAATGAAGTTTTTGACTTTAAGTGCTGACTTATCACGTGCTCTGCGGTGAAGGAAAACATCGTGAGGAAACCTGCATATTTTCGAAATAATAACAAAATATATATATATATTTCGAAGATATGTGAAGTCCGCCAATCCGCAGTGGGGCCGCGTGGTGGTCTATGCCCTGATACCCTCTGTATAGAGGAAGTCTTTGCCCAGCAGTGGGACATGTATAGGCTGTTGCTTTACTTTTACTTTTATGTTTTTTTTCCACTCACACGGTTGACTTTTGCAACCCAATTATAATTTTATCGACTTTCAAACTTCCTAGTAAAAAAAAAAGTATTAAGTAAATAAAAACATTATTGGCATTATTGATTTAATTAAACAGAAGCCAAAATAAATGAGATATTTATTGAAACTGCCGCAACTACATAAATACGGATGAGTAAATTACTGGGCTATATTTTTGTATTTGCCAAAATAAAACAGAAATTTATTAAATTAATTATTATTTATTACTGAAATAACATAAAAAACACTCGTTTTCTATAGCCGTTGACTTAATGTTAATCAAATATTAGTACAAAGCACTGACCGTATAGTCTTTATTCCATCGCTTTAATTTAGGCTATCATATATTGTTTAAAATAACATATTTATCTAATTAAAACAATATCTACTAAACCTATTGTTGCGGCCATCCAACTTCCTTGGGACATAGCTAACATCCTACTGGCACTATCAACATTTACGTTGACTGACGATAAATAATATACAAATTATTAAAAGAAATAAATAAGACAAAATATGCGCAGTAACATAATAGACAACACAGAATTAAAATATTCGAGCAAAGAAATATTAATTTAATCTTCTATTTAGAACGCAAAAACTGTTCGGCCGACCGTTCGCTAGTAAAATATTCACACGGTCGCAATGGCTATTAATGCTTAAAGCTATATTTTGTATTTACCTTTTATAATTTCGTAAACCTCGTATTCATAATGCACAACTGTTGAGAAACAAATAGCCAGAAACGGGCCCTAAACGGGACTTATTAGGGTCCCCATTGTGAGTTCTGTCAAGTTGAAACGGTAAATGGGGAAACGTCAATATTGAGATAGTGAACGTCATAGATACGATGATAACTGGTTGTCAGTGTCGTCACCGACGACGGA